ATGATTTACAATGGTTTATTGAATTTAAAGACAGAGGGAAAGTATAAGATTGTCAAGGCATTAACAGGAAGAATCTCTCAAAATAGCAGAGAAATAGTGAATTGTGCCAAGTGTCAAAACAGGGTAATTGTTAATAATTGTAACAACAGTTTTTTACGTAGAAGCCATGCCTTAAAAGTAACAAAATAACATTAATTAACTCGCAGAGTCTTTGTATGTTGTATGAGATTCATAATTTTATATTGAGCAAAAATCCTCTTTTAGTTTGCTTAACGGAAACTAGAATTACTGAGGATTTTAATGATTTTGAGTTAGGAATTGTAGGATATGAGGTTATAAGAGTAAATAGTGAAAACAGGCACACTGGCGGTGTTGCTCTGTATTTTAAAAACGGTATAAAGATTAGGAGTGTTGATAGATTTTATAGACAAAAAAACTACTGGTTTCTTGGGGTTGAGTTGAATATATGGGGCAAGAATTACTTGCTGGCTGTATTGTGTCATTCGACCAGTGCAAGTGACGCAGAATTCTTGGGTTTTTTCGAGCAATGGTGTGAAGGAATAATGGATACTGATCGGGTGGTACTGATTATGGGGGATTTTAATATTAATTGGTTGACAGGTAAGTCAACTTATACAGATAAGCTTAAGAAAATTGTAAGTGACGCGGGATACTGGAGGGAGTTTGATAGACTTGGTAATAACCAATGATAATTTATCAGAGCATTTTAAGAGTGAGGTGTTGGAGACGCCAAGGATAAGTGATCATTATATAGTGCAGGTATATTTGCAGTCTTCAAGGACATGGAAGGATGATTTATTTATTAACACTAGGGGAAAAATAAATTTTGGAGAAATTAATAAGAGATTACTACTGGTTCGCTGGGACTATAGAAATAGTGATATAAATTTAAAGTATCAAATATTTCAAGACACATTATTGAATATTTTAAACCAAGTCGCACCCAGAGAAAACAGGGTAATAAAGAAAAGATATAGAGAGTGGTTTAACGATAATATAAGGGAAGCAATTAAAGACAGAGATGAAAGTTATAAAAAATTCAAAACTACAAACAGTCAAAAAGATAGGGAAGAATATAAAAAATATAGAAACAAGGTTGTAAAGGTTATTAGAGAAGAAAAAACGAAGTACTACCAAAATAAGATTGAATATTCTAGGAATAATCCAAAACAAATGTGGGAAACATTAAGTTACTTAATAACTGACAAGAAGAAGAAATCAATTGATAGGGTGAAAATAGATGATAATATTAGCACATCACCAAAGGATATGGCAGAAAAACTTAATGTGTTCTTTATAGAGAGCGTGAATATCATAGTGAGTGAGATGGAAGGTATTAGAGTAGATGATTCAATTGTGGAAGTTGCCGGGGAAGAAACGGAACTGAATCAGTTAAGACAATTAAGTACTTTTAAGCTGATTGACATGAAAGAATTGGAGGGTATTGTTTTTTCATTGCCGGACAAGGGAAGTCCAGATGAGATTGCGTCTCAGTTCTTGAAGAATACTTTTCAGTCAATTAAAGAGCCTCTTTTAAATTTTATTAATTCATCGTTAGAAAGCTGTCAGGTTCCATCAACAATGAAGGTCTCAACGGTGATTCCAATTCAGAAAGTCAAGGGCTCCATAGAGGCAAAAGATTTAAGGCCAGTAAATATGTTGCCTGCAACAGAAAAAATATTGGAAAGGGTGGTTTATGGTCAGTTGCTTGATTTTGTTATCCAAAATAATATCTTGATCGATAACCAATCAGCCTTTAGAAAGAAACATAGTTGTGAATCTGCTATCCAGAATATAATTTATGATTGGAAATATCTCTTGGATGACAATTATGCGATTGGGGCTGTGTTCTTGGACTTGAACCGAGCTTTCGAAACAATAAATAGAGAGATCATGGTAAATAAATTAAAACAGTTTGGAATAGTGGAGAATGCATTAGAGGGGCGAAAAAAATTATCTTGAAAATAGAAAACAGGTAACGAGAGTTAAAGGAGAAACGTCTGCAGAGCTATTGAATGACAATGGTGTTCCGCAGGGAAGCATTTTGGGACCCTTGCTGTTCCTCTTGTATATCAATGACATTGGGAGGGGGGGGGGGGCATAAAATACTGTTCGGGTCATTTGTTTGCGGATGATACGCTCATATATTATTACTCAAAGGATTTGCAATATTTGGTGGATAAAATTAATTTGAATATGAAGGAATTAAATAAGTGGTTCGATTCAAATTCGCTCAAGTTGAACAACAGCAAGTCAAAATTTATGTTGATCGGGAATTCCAGATGATGGGAAAGAAGTAGAATTGGTGGAGAAAATAAAGTATCTGGGCTTTATAGTTGACAGAGCACTTAACTTTAAGGAACATATTATAAGTATAATTGACAAATTAACAAAAAACATTATTTTTTTGTATAGAGTGTCCAGGTTTTTAACACAGTGGTCAAGAATGACAGTTTTCAATACTTTGGTGCTGCCCCACTTAATGTATGGTTCAACTGTTCTGTATCTGGCAAACAAGAATGAAATTAGTAGATTACAAAAATTACAGAATAGATCCATGAGGATAATTTTGGGAGAAAGGAGAGATACACCAATAAAACAAATGCTAGATAAATTAAAGTGGCTCTCTATAGAAAAGTTTTTAGAATTTCAAGTGTTGGTGTTTATTTACAAAATAAAAAATGGACTAGCGCCGAATTATTTGACTGATAGACTGGTTACTAATGAAATAATTCATGACTATCCAACACGAAATAAAGATAATTTTTATGTTCACAAAAAGAACAAACGTTGTTCAGAAAGGGCAGTCTATCATAAGGGGTTAATTGCCTTCAATTCATTGCACAGTTGCATAAAGAATGCGGGTAGTCTGCAAATTTTCAAAAATAGATTAAAGTGTCACTTGCTGGGTGAATGATATAGTTGACTTTTTTGTTTCTATTTTAGTTTTGTAATTATTGTCTGTTGGTGATTTTTAGGAGTAGGGAGTATATACTGTATACCTATATTGTTTAATTATTTTTTTTTTCTTATTTTTTTTAGGTTTGTAAGAATTTGTACCTAATTGTATTTTGTTTTATGTATTAGCCAGGTGCTAAATAAAGGATTATTATTATTATTATATATTATAGAATAAACAGACAACAGAGAGTTAGAATACCGTGGCTCAGAAACAGAGGGCGACACGAATGCCGAGGTTTGGCTCCACACAAGTATCTGATGGCCCTTTTCTGAAGTAAGAACACCGAATTAAACAGATAGTCAGAACAAGAGCCCCAGAAGCAGATTCCGTATCGAAGATGGGACTCAATAATCGCGAAATAGGCACATTTGGTAATGGAGAAATTTATTATTATTATTATTGAGGATTTTGGTCTTGGATGTATTGAATGTCAGAGAATTGGCGTCGCACCAGTACTTTATTTCAAGTAGATCCGCTCTCATATTGGCCTCTATTCTACCAACATCAGAATCATGCCAGAGGATAGTGGTATCGTCTGCAAAGATTGTGAATCTACCCGTTATTTGGAGATGTGGTAGATCATTTACATAAATGAGGAAAATCAGGGGACCAAGTACCGAACCCTGTGGGACGCCCACACTAATATCAAGTTCCTTAGAGGTACCACCATTAAACTTGACAGTCTGAACGCGATCCGACAGGTTATAACTTGCCGCTTCTCGAGCGTGATAGGACATTTCCTTGCGAGTGCGCATATCCGTAAAAAAAAAAAGAACGAAACCACTCTGGGGTAGTTCCCCTGAAACCATACAGCTCGAGTTTCCACAGTAGCACTCCGTGACTCACACAGTCAAAAGCCTTTGACAAATCACAGAACACCGCTGCAGCGACCTCACCACAGTTCAGACTGTTGTAAAGGTGTTCAAGAAAGTCAAAGATGGCATCCCCCGTACTCATGGATTCATGAAAGCCAAACTGCTGAGAACTTAAAAGGCCACGGTTGTTCAAGAACGGTAACATCCTAACCTAACTATAGTGCTTAGACCAAGAAATGTCATCAGAACTATTCTACAATTAATTAAGGGAGTGGCATTCATTGTTGGCATGAAGTTAGCACCACTATTTTGGCTTTTTGAAATATTGCAACTTCTAAGTAAAACTACAACTGCTCGCATATGAGAACTATAGAACTCTCTCCAAAAAGGGTAGAGCTCATGAAAAGTTAAGGTCGCTACAAGTAAGGTGCATTCTACTCTTTCGAGGAGTACCTTGATGATAGTTTTGTTCTTGAGTAGGTAGTTCAGTACTGTTCCGTCTGATCTAGAATTTTTTAAAGTGTCTGTATTGTTGGTTATCGTCCCTTGACTTGCTATCGCATAATTTTAACCACCCACAATTTTAATTCAAATTGCAGGATAAATATATTGATATAGGTTACCTACTTGTTTTGATTTGTTAACACAGTCATTTTGTTTAATGTAGATTTAGAGCGTACTGTAGGTATTTTCTAATTTGTAAGGAATACAATGTATTTTTAAAATAAGATTTAGGAAGAAATCTGTAATTTGCATTTCCTGACTTGTGTAATTATTACTAATAAATAAACTAAACTAAACTAAACTAAGGGTGATAACTATTCACAGGTATGAGAAAATGAAGAGCAATTATAGATGAAACATGGGTAATCCCACGTTAATCAAGGCCTTAGTTGTAAAAATTTGCCATTGAAAAACATACCTACCACTAACAGCTGTTATCTTAGTTATCTCCCAAATTTGTGGTGATGATGCAATTGAATAACGAATATTAAGGTGTTATTGTGCAACTTTTACACTGACTCAGTAACATCATTAAATATTGTGTAATTAAATTATGAGTAATTGTGCAGTAACCTGTAGTAGATAAGAAAATACTTTATCTTATGTAAGGTAATTTTTTTCAAAGTTTTGCCATGACCTTTAAATGCTGAATCATAAAAATTTTGCATGTTTGATAAATGGAATACCTAAATACTTACTTGTGTAACTAGATGATCAAATCGCTGCTTTGTTGGATTCACAATTTTAAGCTTATACTCAATATTACCAACTTGAGGTTCTGGAGGTAAAGCATTTTGTCTGTCGAAGTCCTCACTCCCTGGACTTTCATTCCCATTGTTGGGATCAAACAGGCTGAAGAACGAATCCATTTTCTATAAAAACAAAAATTGGAATTTAAGCAATAAAATCCTTGATAAAATCTATCACATCAACTACATATTGCATTATGAAATTGGGTGAAAGTAAAATTCTATAACAGACAGAAATGTACTTGAAAACAAAAAGGTAAATATATTGGCCTGGATTCAATAAAAAACAGATTGCCCAATAAAAGCAGGGCAATTTCGCAATAACAAAAATAAAAACACTTTGCTGGCCAAAAATATCACCTCAACATGAATACAATGATATGTATTCACAAAATTTATCCATTATACTTACTATCTAATATTTCAGTTATTATACTGCAACAAATAGGCACAAATGTAAAAGTCCGTTATTGTAAACATAAGCTTCAATCAGTTATAAGGGATCGAATTAATTTGTATTGAATTTTAGCAAAATAAGCAGCTCAAGATCCACAAATAAAAATAAACAGATACACTAATTTTGATAACAAAAAATGACAACTGCTGGCACTACAGATGACATTTCAAGATTTCACAGGGCCGGATCAACCGTGAAGATGCAACCAACCAAAATTTTACATTGGATTCGTTTCACGTCGAATAAGGAAGGGATCGGGCTTTCCCGCTGAAAACTTGAAAGGTCTTGTGGTATGTAATCGGAAATCGTATTCGTGTTCCCATTTGCTTCCACATCAGCTGTGGCGTGGCTGTGTTAAATTGGAACAAAAGGGTTTTCGAAAACTATGGTCTATTTAACCGGTCAGTAGCTGCCGGGCTCTTATCTTTCTTTACTCTTTGAAACTGGTTAGAGATGTCCAGTGAGGTGCATTAAATAGTCCCGATGCGTTCGGCTGTTCTTATTTTGAGCTAATGGAGTACTCCGGAGTCACCCTAAAAAGAGGACTGTATGCACTGTATAGTTGTATTCCTTACACACCTAGGAGGAGCTCCGGAACAGCTCCAGGGCGTTACGCGCTTATTTCCTTTCGAAAAGTGTTTGTTGCACCTGAGTGCTGAAGCCCAACTCAAACCATTTAAATGCATGAAAGCCAGCGCATGTGTTCCTTTCAAATCGGGGTCGACTAACACCGGAGCGAGTAGCTCTAGTGTTTCAAGCTCTTGAAAGGAATACAACTTTTGATGATATCTAGCTTTATTGATAGCTGTGTTTTTTTCCAAACCTCGTTTATAATAGGAATCAGGATTTCCGAATAAGTTTGGTAGTATAAATAAATCATCGCGGTTATCATTTTAGCAACCGATCTCAACGGGGAGGAGCTTTGTATGAAAATTTCGCTTTTGTGTCAAGAATTGTCATCCAGGTCCTGACTCCTGCTTGAAGCAGATCTAGCAGGAACAAATAGAATAACAATTTATATTCATATTCTTTGGTGGCGTTCATCAGCAACGATGATAAACACCTACAGGATCGCTTATCGGCCTAGTTTTCGGTAATCGCCGGCATATTGGTGTGTCATCATATCCGTCGTCAGCTGTTTAAACAACCTATGTCAAGGCGAGAAATAACATGCTGCCTACGTCACAACTGGTGATTTGGCATGGGAGGGAAGGGAGGGATTTGTTCCACGAAGGCCTTATGAGGATAGGCTATCCTGGAGTGCGTTTAGAAATGGAGTGTGAAGGTAGAGTAGTTATTTGTCAAAGTGTTCTGACGTCATCACTTGGAGTGCACGCTAAATGTCAACGTCAAACCCGGTAAAAACCACGGGGCGTTTTTCAACCCAGTCCCTGAGTGGGGTAATTTGGGCGCACTCTGGGCACGTCAACTCTCGATTTCTGAACTATTCCAGCTTAACGCTCCGAGTAAGCACCTTTAATTTATGAACGGTTTAGAGTTACTCTAGGGTCACTCTCACACCCAGGCCGGGGATTCTAAAATCACGATTCGACATACGACTCGACAACGAGACGATTTTTCCGACGATTCTAGGTTAGAAATCTCATTGGAATTGTACCTTTCGAGACGAAAAGGCCGGTATCGTTATCGAGTCGTATGTCGAATCGTGATTTTAGAATCTCGGCCCAGAGTGCTATTTCTAAACGCAACCCTGTAGTAGTGGTGTGTACACGGTTCAAGAAGAATCGGTTCCGGATCGATTCTGAACTAGTTCTACCGACTCTGCGGATTGAACAAGAATCATAAATTCGAGAAATGATGCAGTTCACAAATTTTTGTTGAGTTAGAGAGAGTTCCAAGTTCTCGTTTCCTGTTCCGAAACCGTGATTCATAAGGTGCGCGCTCCACGACACTCCATTCCAAACTGGTTGGAAATCGGTCCAGTCATTGTGATTCGCGAATTTTCCTATCGACAATAGATGTAGGCAATGAACTATAACCAAAAACTGGAATGCTAACACATATTGACGAACGTGAAGCCTAGTGCCGCTGCTGCGGAGGGGATACCTGTTTTTGTGGCACTCATTATGCTAAATGGCGGAAATTGCTTCCTACACGTATTCCAATTGATGAAACCTGTGAAGGTAAATATGACAAAACTTTCCAAAACGTCATATGTCAGCGAGCAACAGAAAAAAACAACATTCCCCTTTGTGGCATCTGTCAGAATCTGTCTTTCCAGAGCCGCTTTCCAGTATGGGAGTTTGACGCCCGGAGCTACTCGGGCGTTGAGCCCCCCAGCTGTACGTACGCGTCAACCTGTCAGCTGTCACATCCGTGGGTGGCTATTTATATATTTATTTCTTGTTATTTGTTATATCTCAAAAATGAACATTTTAAAAAATATAGTTTTGATTCTCTTTCATTTATGATAAATAAAAAAACAAACAAACAGATAATTATTTTTAAAATTTGACATATTTGACACTAAAGACAGGCGTCTCACGTCATGATACTGGAACGGTACAAATCTAGTGCGTGGCGCCCCCGAGGTGCTCTGGAGCGCGCCAGAGCGCGCCAATGTGCATACTGGAAAGCGGCTATGGCTACATTTTTTTGGCAGATATGGCATTGTGTGCGCATTCCAGTTTTTGACTATAGTTCATTGGATGTAGGCAGGGATGTGCGTCTACACGTAGACTTTCATTGGGTCCTATGATTGAACGTTTACGTTAAAATTAACACAAACCTGTTATGTTATGCTAACAGGGAATAGATAACATATAAAATAACAGTAGATGTTATATCGGTATGATTGACGAAATCGATAACAGAAAATGTTAAGCTGGCTGTTAAGAATGGAAGAAAGTATTTGTACCTAGCTTCACTTTGGTTTCAAAAGTGACGTTTTTCTTGAAACAACAATAACAAACAATTAAATTACATTTTTTTGCAATTTATTAGGGCGAAAAGACTATCTAAAATAACTGTGCAACAGTATGGGGACCTAGCATTTCCAAATTATATAAATGTCCTGGGAGTTGGACCCCATAAAACACTCGAAAAAACATCAGAGCTGTTCTCTCGCGTTCACTTTTTTGAAACTGGTTCAAAACAGGTTTGAAATAGTATATTCTCGTGATGAACCCATGACGTCACACAAAATTGGTTGAAACTGTTCCGAAATACAATGCAATCAATGTTTTTGAACCATTTTCTCGCGCCGAGAAGTTATAACGTCATTGGGAAACAGTTTCAAACCAGTTTTGAAAACTGTTTGAAAAAATTCGAGACGCGAGAAAACACCTCTGACGAGTGGACATCATTTGTACACGAAAATAAAAACACTACTAGAACCACTGCCTTATATAAAATGAAAAACAGTTCCAACTATACTAAGAATTCAGAATAAACTTTTAGAATTTAGAGCTTCAGTTCAACTGGAATGGATGAAATCCTTGGTCTTTGAGGAATATCAAAATGGGGCATTATTCTTGCAATTATAAACTGCACCGATTCTTTTGGAACTTTTGGAAGTCTAGTATATTTAGTAATAAAACCATATCAGGAGTTTCAATTGACCTCTGGTATCTCTTCTTTGAGTGTTCAATTCAGTGCTCAAATAGTGAATTAATTAAAGTTTTGTACCTCATAATTGATTAACATAAAATAGTAATGAAGTTTATAACCTATTACCTCCTAGTTTGATTCTCTTTTTGTATTATGTAAATTAATTACCCCGTCATTCAAAATATAGGATTTCTAAAGAAATAAAAAAACATTGGTAACATGAACGTTAAGCACTTAACGGCATGTTATTCGGGGCTGTTGAGGAGATATGTTAAATTAGAACATAACAGGCAGAAAATAACAGTAATCTGTTATGAAAAACTTTCCATCATACGAACTTGCATCGTTAGTGTTAAAACTCCGCCTAACATGTAAGTTACGGATAACGTAAACGTTCAATCATAGGACCCTTGTCTACTTTACGTGTAGATGTAGACAATGTAGACGTAGACAACGTGTCAACAATGTATAATAATATAAATGACGTTTAATTCTAACCTCACACTTTCCTTTTTTTATTGATTTTCCTGATATTTTATAATCAGTGAATGCTGATATCGAAGTGATAGTGATAGTATAGTAACTCTTGATATTTTTTTTCGAATTTTTCAAAATAATTTATTGTTTCGCCTCATGTAGACAATGTGTAGACAAATGCTCACGTAAACAATTCGAATTGTCTACGCGTAGACAATCAATTGTTTACGTTGACATAGGCCTGTTCGCACAGCAATCACAAACCAGTCAGAGCGAATTTCATTGTTTGAAAACAATCAGAAACAGTCAGAAAACTAGTTTCGACCAATGAGATTCACTCTGACTGATTTGTGATTGCTCTGCGAACAGACCTATTTGTCTACAGGCACATCACTGGATGTAGGTATGTAATCAGTGGTATCTATCGATACCACATTGTTAAATCGACGTTTTTCGGTATCATGTTTTAAAAAAATCGATGCAACTTTGTCATCTCTGCCTCAGCCTGAGTAATGTATTTAATTATTTATGACTGATGAATGATGGAATATGATTGTGAATAGTTTTTTAAAAAACATTTTTATGATAACAACAAAGGATGATAATATTTTGCTGAAAATGATTTTGGGATAACTTGGTAAATATTATGGAATGGATACGAAATAACCCCTTTTTCCAAAAAAACAACCGAAATGTGATAAATACAGAGGAAGAATGTGATCCGCAAGCTTGTTATGATAGTTTCAAGGGGCACTGGGATCAAGCTCTCAAAATACTCCTCAGGGCTCAGGTAAATTAATTCTTAATTATTTTTTTTTTCAATCAATGAAATGCCTTGATTATCATCTACCTTTTAATGCCTATTTATGTAGTATCACCACAGCACTGTACTTTTGAGGTTATTTTTAAATAATAGTTATTTTTTAATGGAAAATGGAATGGAATCTGCTGCTTCACTGCCTTGACAGTCCAATAACAACAATATAGACAGACTCCCATGGCGAGGGGTAGAATCAGGGTAGAATTGCACTTGGGGCCCTATATTGAAGGTTCCAATGGAAAAAATACATGCCATTAATCAGTTATTTATATTTGAGATCTAGCAAGTTTGTCAAGGTCTCCATACATTCATTATTGAGTTTATTATTTTCAGAGTTACAGTTTTTGTAGAATCTCTTGGATACCTAAAATCTCTCTCAAACTAGTGATGAAACCGATGATAAAACGATTACAATTGCAATTATGATTCATGAATGATTAATGAATGCTGAATGAATGAAATAATAAATTTTATTTACAAACTTGCCATTTTAAATTACAATATTTCTAGATATGTGTAAAATAAACTGATTGCACATAGCCAGCATGAGATTTATAGAAGGATTACCTATCTCAATGCATATAGAATAATCCATTATTAATAGTGCATAGTTCAATTTTAGGAACAAGTAATGGTATATAATTTATTAAGTAGCCATCGCTATACTTTATGACTCATGTTATCAACAATGTTGTAAATAAATGTCACAGATTGAAGTACTCTCCTCTTCTCTTTGAAGCCTTTCAAACATGAAATTATAAGATATTTTAAACGGATAAGTATTGTGCTCCTTCACATGCAGTTTCTGTAAGAATCTTTTTTGTACTTTCCCAATCTTGTCGACATTAGACAAAGCCTGAGGCCCCAGATAACTGAGGAATATTTAGGATGTGGTCTAACAAGTGTATTATACAACATTTAACATTATAATATAACTGCTTCAATGTTTTTGAAATTTTTAGAATTTCTCACTACAAATTCTAGTGCCCTGTATGCTCTATTGAGAATTTGATCATAGTCAATATTAAATTTTAAATTTGTTTGGAGATGCACTCCAAGGTCCTTAACAACCTCTACTTACCTCTTGTAGTTTTGTATTAGGTATTTAACTAATAATAAAACTTTGTTGAATTGAGCCTTCGAGTGTAAGATTTTTCTGTATTAAGAAACATTTTATTTTTTTAAAACCAATAATCAATTTGATTCAAGTCGTGCTGTAGTCTTCTACTGTAGTTATTGTTCTAAAGACCTTGATAACATCCGGAAAGAGTAAGCATTCTGAATGTTGGACCATACTAGGTAAATCATTTAAAAAAAGGGCAAAAAGTAAGTGGGCCTAAGTTACTTAGTTCCCCTCAGACTTAGTTCTTCCAATCCTAACAGTCTGAATTCTAGAGGTTAAGTATAAGTTAACATTTTTTTAATGCATTCGATGATAAATTAAAGAGTCCAAGCTTTATGGGTATACAATAGGTAGGTAAGTTCACTTTTTTTACATTTTTGATGTGTGAATCCTAAACCTCTTGACGTTAAATCCAAAGTTAGCCGATGTTGTTGAGACAGGAAAGTGCAAATGGTTTTGGTTATGTCAAACCGAGTTTCAAACCATTTGGATTTTAAAGGCTGTCAAAGTTGTAAAATATCAATATTTCAAAAACAGTTGAAGATAGGTATAGCAGTTACCTCAAAAATATCAATATATTCACAGTAGAATAAAATGTAAAAATGTGCAGGTTGTTGCCTTTGAAAAAATGAAGTTGATGCAGATTACGCTTTTTTTCTAGCGACTATGTATACAGGGTGGTTTAGTTAAGTAAGGTCGTTGAGTTTTTTTTCTAAGTTCTGGAGAACGAAAAAAGTAATTTTACAAAATTTGGTATACATCCTAAATCTGGTCTATTTTTTGCAAGATTTTTTGAAAGTCTTTTCACAAGTGCAGCATTTACCAGTTCACACTTTTGGTCAAGGATTTACCCAACATACTTCCTATACCTATGTGTATGTGTAAGGAGTGAGAAGCACTGTGTGATCCTATGTTATTTATAATTTTACTTAGTGTTAGTGATGTATTTTCAAGAAAAGTAAATAAAAGAAATCGCAAATTAAACAAAATTTCAGCAATTACCAAGCCATGATGATGTTTTGGGTGTTGTCAACCACTTGGAACAGATGATAACATTGCTCCTATATGACATGAAAAAAACTGACAGATTATGCATGACTCTAAATTCATCAAAATGTGTGGAATTTCTCTTGACTGGAAATATTCTTAATAAACTATTTGAATGGAGCATGCGATCTGGCAAGTATGTTACCTTAAAATTATTCAATAATTTGGAAACATGTTATTTATACATTTTTAGATACACAAATGCCGTCCGATGTGAGCAAATTAAATTATATGATACTTTAATAAGTCAATCCAGGCACCTTTTATTGGAACATAATTCGTTTGTAAAGCCTCTACTGAATCTCCTAAGTTCTTGCAATGGAGAAGTATTTTCCAAAGAAATAAATAAACTTCTTGTCGATCTTTTAAACCAGCTAAGCACCTTGCTGGTACAACAACCAGAATTTGTAAATTTATTTGTTGTAAAAGAAAAAAATGTAAATAGGTAAGTATTTTAGTTATTCTTTGCAAATTATTTATATAAGTATGTGGCCCATGGTATATGTGGGTCATATACAAAACAAGTGTTGCATTCCCCCCAAATCACGCTACTAAGGATTAAAAAAAAAGACATTGATATTACCTATGATATTCAATTAGGTACCAAAATATTAAAATCCAATATAATTTTAGGTTCATAATTTTTTCTCTACTCATACCATTTATACATAAAGAAGATGCAATTGGAATGAGAGCAAGAGATGCCTTACTCCTCTGTATGTCATTATCAAAAAAAAATAAAGAAGTTGCTGAGTACATATCAGAGTCCTCAAATTTTTCCGTTTTAGTAGCATCAGGTCTTAGTGGATTATATTCAGTTTTACCAAATGTTATAAATGATATAGGTATGAAATCTTGATGTATTCAATAAATGATTATTTAACCACCTAAATTTTTTATTAGGTGTACCTGATTGGCATCGTTTCACTCCAGATGATGTAAATGAAATTAAAGGTTTATTATATTTTGTTACTTCTTTAGAATTTAGTAATGCAATAGCCCAAGTGGCACATCCGTCAATCAGGAGACAATTACAAGAATTCTTATATAGAGGGTTTTTGATTCCTGTTCTTGGTGCTGCTTTATTACAAAACAATATTCAAGAACAAGTTGCAGCTATAGCCTATCTTGAGCTCATAATTCGCACCGTAACTGAGCCTGGATTATTACATTCTGTTCTACAATTTTTAATAAAAGTTGAATATGATGGTGAAAGACTGCTAAATATTTTAATACAACGAATACAATCGAACGATATGCAACTATGTTTGGTCTCTTTAGCCATGTTTGAGAGTATGGTCGATTTAAATTGTGAAGATTTACTATTGGAACTTGTTTTTAAATATTTACAGGTAGGTAAATATTTTTATACTCTCAGGAAATAAAAATGTCAGGGATATTTTGCCATATTTTACACCGAAGCTAGTGAATCAGTTGTTTTGCTCAAACTTATATTGTACAGATAGTATCTTGATATTAATATTTATCATAGTTATGGCTACTTATTCATGTGATGACTAAATTCTATTTATGTTTAATTTAATTTCTTATTTTTAGTAAGTAGTAGTCAATTGCAAGTAAGCTTTTCCAATTATTTGAAATTTTATCTATCTAAGGCTTGGTTTATTCATCTTTAGATAAACTTGCTGGTAACTACCTGCAAAATAAATTTACGGTTCTATAATTCTGTTGGTTGGTTGATAATTGGCCGACCAATGGGATTACAGATTGCGTTTTGATCTGTCAGATTGCAGACCTGACAGTTTATCAGAAGGTGAATGAACCAGCCCTAAGTATTTCATAAACTGGGTCTCCTAGCCAAAATTATCCCATTTTACAGGCTTATCTTAACCTCAACTAGGCTTTACAGTTTTTCTTTTTCAATTCGGATATGAGCAAATTATTTTATTTTATTCCAGCCAAGTTTCCACTTAATAATATCGCAACGAAAAATGCTGCTACCTTTGGATCCATTGTGTCCAAGTTTCGAAAAACTCTTATCTCTAGCGCCGAACTGTTGTCAGTTACCTGACGAAGTTGTAATTGATGGAAACGCAGCCCAGTGGAATCATTTTAAGCATAAACAGAGTTTATATGGAAAATATTATGCTTATCTGTGCGATGCAAGAAGTAAAATTGGACAATGTCAAAAGGCTTGTTCCACATGGAGTAATAGATATGATGGAGATGAGGAAGGTTTACCTGGAACAGGTAAGGATTCAAGTCAAATAGGTTTGGTTTTTAGTATGAGTATTTATAGAGAATAGTAGCATGGCTTAGTAAAGTACATATAATAACGTCTCACAACTCCTTAGTGTTGGAAAATGTGTAAAATCAACTATAGGTCTATATATTAACAGTATTTTGGGAAAGTTTAAACTACAAATTGATCATAAAAATCATTTATAGTTTATTTATTTATTGACGGACAAAGCCCATTTTTTTACATAATTTACATATTCGTTAATAAATTATATGTTCTTAAGAGTTAAATAGGTAAAGCTAGGTAACATAATTAACAAGTCAATAAAATCTCAGAGAGGTAATACATATTAACTAGCGTAACTAGATGCTTACAAATTCAAATATACTTAAATTGTGTTTCAAAGCTCTAAGAAAGCATTTTTGTGAATAGAAAAAGTCCAATTCAGTTTTTTCATTAGCAAGTGACATAGTTCTTGGAAACAAGAAGTATTAAGTATTTTCCATAGTTTGTTCAGTGGAAAGCAACTTAGAAAGTTTGTTGGTTTGGGAACAAAAATATTTACCATATTGGTAAGATGTGGACAGTCAACTATAGAGTCGATCAATTTAGAAAGCAAATAAAGATCTCGGTGATGTCTCCTGTACTCTTGAGCTTTGAGTATCATAATGGGGATTCCAGATGGTGGAAGCATATTCTAAATGGGATCTCACGAGACTGCAATATAGAATCTTCAGAGCATGGATGGTGTTGAAGTCATTTGTATTTCTTTTGATAAATAGAAGCATCCGTAGTGCTTTGTTTGTTATGTATATGTATTAAGTATATGATCAATATAATAAGACAGGCTCGGGTCCAGAACAACTCCCAGATTCATAATGGTTTCAGAGGCTTTGAGGATTTCACCCTTGATTGTATAGTTATAGGTTGTTATGTTTCTTTTTCTAGAGAAAATCATTAGTGTGCACTTTGAGGTATTAAGCTCCATCTCATTTGAGTCACACCACTCCACAAACCTATTTAAATCTCTCTGCATTCTCCCGAATTCGAAATTATTTTGGATGACTTTACGTCTTCAGCAAAAAATCAAGAAAAAGTAGATTTTGAAATTGTCCATGCCTAGTTCGGCATTTGTTATGTCGTCAGAAAGATTGGTTTCAGTCAAAATAACAATTTCATTACTGTCTATTGACAAATTGCATATCAGAGTGGATAATTTAGTACGAAGGCCCTGTACGTTTTGGTAATAAGTAGTTAAGTTAAGGCTTTATGGTCTTTTTCCGTCACAATTTAGTTTCCCTTAGGAACCTCCTCATTGGCATTTATCTGAGGAATACCCTTGATATATCTCAATTTAAGTGAATCTTTACCTTTTGACTTGCGCTCTCGTAACCCTATCCTAATGTGTTTTTCAGCTTGTTGTTGTTTTATGGTTTGATCGAGGTTCAAGTAAACATTTTTCCCTTTTAGCTTATTTCTACAGAGGATGAGTTACTGAACTTCGCTTGGAGAGCCAAGCGTAATTTTGACTGCACGAACGCCTTTTGAGTTCTTTTTGCCAATTCTGGAGAAATTTTGTGTTAATTTTATGTTCAAGTACCGGGGTAGACTCGTCAACCCGGTTATTTAACTTTTCATTGCGTTCCTGTAACGTTTTCACATCGGTTTTTAGGGAGTTAATGTTTTCATCGGATCAGCAGGGGAACAGACTTGAAACCATCTCGGCAGTCGTCGTAGAAATACATTAATCTTCGCTTTTGAAGTACGATAGCTCTGACTTCTGAAGCTGATAGCTGACTGCATTCCTTTGGTAAATGCGTGCAGGATTGACAGCTGTCGCAAGTTGCGCAATCAGTGTCCGCTTCTATTGCATTTTTGCATATTTTGCACTCCGTTTCCATTTTAACCCTGACTCACTATAAGTATTTTGCTTAGAGTTTTAGAAATTTTTGGGAATTTCAATATTTTTTTTTATGTACCTATAAAATATTCTCATAAATATGTACTTAATGAAAGGAATATCCTATATTGATTTATTGAATTCTATTAATCGAGTATATTTTATCACTTTACAGATGAAAAATCTGACAGTTTGATATCCCTTGAGCGTAGTAGCGGATATGAAAGTTTTAACATGCTAAATGAAGAGATTAAAGAAGAACAAGAAATTTGGCAAATATCATCTAACAAACCAAAAAGGTCAAACTTGAATACTAGCTTTGATGAGAATCCTTGCCTAGAAGAATCGCCTACTGCTGGACCATTTATGACAGTATTACTTGAAAAATTGAAAAAATTCATGTCAAACTCCATATACGTCAATTTACATTTAACAGGATTATTATCTAGATTAGCAGTATATCCCCAGACGTTATTGAGAGCATATTTGCTTGATCATAGTTTGGTTCTGCAACCCAATATACCATCTATGTTTGAGGTGAGTAAATTACCGTTTTTATTCATCATTTTCTAAAAAAAAAAATATTTGGCAGATCATTGGAATAATAAAACAACAGATCGATGAATATATGAGTCGACAGCCTGAGAGAATTAATTTAATCCGATATGCACAAGAAGTTTTAGTACACAGAGAAATCATGTTGGTGAATATTAGGAGGTAATTATTGAAAATAATACTGGGTGGCACATTTTCAGTAGAATTTGGTATTTAGATTCTGGTTCAAAACACCATTGAAATGCTGAAGATGGGGCTCTGAGTGCGTCTAGATCAATCGTTGGTTAATCCTCGTTAGCCAACAATAACCTCAGATACAAAAACAATATTATATTTACATTGATACATTCTTTTTTTTTAACAAACCATTGATCTAGTCACACTAAGTGCACTTTAAAGTATGTATTTGAAAAAAACAATGAAAACATTTAGGTACCACATAGAAAAAACATCTGTATCAAAACCTGCCGCACAAGAAACAAATGAACCTTTCCAAAGGAACAACCCTAAGAGACGCAGCCTAAATATCCCTTCAATAACCAGTATGTTTGGTCGAAGACCTAGTCAAATTGACACAAGTCTACCAATGATTGCCTCGGCAGAGGAATTGCAATATAATTTAATATACCCCAAATTCAATGAGGGACAGCATGTGGCTTTATGTGGAGTTCTTTTAGATGAATGGGTGAAGGAGCTAGCGGCGTTAGCTCAAGAACATACTATTGCCCAACTTGCCACTTTAATAAATTAATTTCATTTTTTGTAAGTTAACCAGGGTTGTTTGGTGCGGTTTTTGGATGTTTTAAAATTCTTTTTTCTGAAAACGGTTGATTTGGTTTATTTTGACGTTTATTTGTTACATGTCATTCATGGACCTCATTATGCCACAGGTTTGACTGAATTTATTATATCTTGTTAGGTTTAAAATAATCAGTCACAATTTGAATTATATAAAAATCTCAAACCTTATCATAATGACCAAACATTGAGGCTAATTCATGCCCGTGAAGTGTCAGTTCCGTGCCATATCTATCAGGTACCTACTGACATTCTTGCCTCTATTCGAATGAGCTTTCAAGAATTAATTTTCAGTGTCTGTCAATCTAGTTCTACTAAAATCATTGAACCTGGTTTACTTACAGAATGTCATCTTAAAATAAGATATTTTTTGTGAGAGTTAGTTTTTAAAGTTTGAATAATTTTACAAGCACCTATTTATTCCGCCATATTCACAATTTTTACCAAGGTTGTTTTGTTAATAATAACAATAACCCAGTACAACTTACTATATTTTTATTTGCATACTTGTAAGTTAAAAAGTCCAATTATTTTTATTTATTTCTTGTTTCAGCTACTGCTGACTTTTCGTGTTGTATTCACTGCTTCACCCTGTATTTCCATGTGTATGTATGTATGAAATTCTATAAAGATTTACCAATGTTTTCGATCAGTTTTAATTGAAAATTTTCCATAAGTACCTATAAGATATTTGCAACTATGCTAAAAATTTATATTTGCTGTGAATACTAGTGAGTACATTGTTTTTTTTAAATATTTCAACCAGACTAATTTGTGATATTTTATTGAAAATTTTGTTGACCAAGTCAATAATATCGTAAATCTTTTTTTCTTAATATTGTTACTATGATGTCAATTTGAGGAAAAAAAACTTATTAACTTTTACGTACAGCCTGCTTGAGAAGCGGGATTTATTGTTTTCGTTTTATAAAATTTTAAATATGTATTTGTAAATTGCACGACACAGTCACAAGTTAATTTTGCATAACTGTTGGCTACCAGTTTGTGATTGTTTTAGCCAATAATAATCACTAAATGGTTTGGGATTTCTGCAAGAAATTGAATCCCAAATTGGTGATAGAGACATCAGGATGTAGAAATTCATTTGAACTATCATAAAATGTATATTTCAAGCTCTTTTAACCTTCTTCTTCCCATCACAAGAAAAAATACGTAGATTCCCACGTGGGGTATACATTCGCACCCCATGATAAAAAATGATACTTTAGACAATTAAACATGTTTTTATTTATACAGTGTGTCCCGCTTAAGGACTGACCACCCTTCTAAAATTTTTATTTTTTAAACCGATTCAATTCATTTTTTTTTGTCTTAAAGTTACTCGATTTTGGCACTTATTTGGCTCATAATTTTATTTCTGCGGTTGTACAGGTGTACAGGGTGTCCACATTTATAGGCTCAAATTTCAATTAGTACTATTAGGGATTTTTTTAGAAAAAATCTGATAGCAGATTCTTGTTTAGCATGGTCTAAAACCCGCATGTACTAATTTTTGTTTCAATATGATACAGGGTGATCGCAACAAATTTTCAAAATTTAATGGACCAAACCGGAAAAATATCATATTTTGAGGCCTTGAGAACAACAAAACTTGATATAATATAGTTTTAGAACATTCTTAACCAAAACTTGTAGTAAGCTTGTCTCAAAATATAACATTTTTGCAGTTTGATTCATTAAATTGGGAAAATTTGTTGTGATCACCCTGTATCGTATCGACATAAAAATTAGTACATTTGGGTTTTAGACCATTCTAAACAAGAATCTGCTATCAGATTTTTTCTAAAAAAATCCCTAATAGTACTTATTGAAATTTGAGCCTATAAATGTGGACACCCTGTACACCAGTACAGCCGCAGAAATATAACTATGAGCCAAGTAAGTGTCAAATTCGAGTAGATATAAGACAAAAAAAAAAAATGAATTGAATCGGTTGAAAATTAAAAATTTTAGAAGGGTGGTCAGTCCTTAACACTCTGTACTAAACAGTTATAATAGATAAAATCAACATATAACAAGAGTACAGTTAGCGAAAAAAAATAGTTAGGACTTATTATTAATTATGTACAAAGGCCCTTAGTGACACAAAATAAAATAAGTCACAAAAAATATGCACTTTTTGGGAAAATATGCTAGAAAAATTGTTTTCTGGGGTACACTTGTACCCCACCCACCCGGGAAGACAAGGTTAATAATTATTATTTTGTTAAAAATGACAGTGACAAATTTTGAAATGGGTTTTTTTCAACAGTGTATTTTATTGTGATTGAAAGGGGTTCCATAAGATGTAAGCGGGATGTAATTTTTCTTAATCATTTCTGGAATTGTTTATTTTAACAACACTTTTATTTTTACTACATTTATAACCATTATATTGTACAGATTGAAATACCAAACCCCTTGGTTTGAGCTTCATGAGCATTGCCTGCCCAAACCATTACAGATCATTCCTGGAAACTAACCCTATCTATTTTTTTTTTTGCATTGAACATATCGCTGTCATACCTCCAAGAGGACTGTTTTAGTTCAAACCTAGACTCTACCCAGTACTAATTTAGTCTTGCCATCTTTGGAATTGAAATAAAAACTTCAAAAACGTATAAACTTATATAAAAATCACAGCTTTAAAAATTACCTTCTGTGCTTATCACTAATTTGGGATGACCTATATTTCCGAATTTGCAGAAAAATTAAACAATATATTAGGTTTCTGTGGCCATAGACAAAATTGTATGCAGATTTTTTTTTTCCCTTTATTTCTTTATTGTGTGATTTATTTAATTTATGTATTAAGATTTTTTTTATTTATTTGTGTGTCTATTTTCTATGCGGTAATAATAAATATTGATTGGCAAGAATCCAAATTTCTAGGCAATTTAGTAAGACGTTTTTAGGCTTCATGGACACAAACCATCTAATTTCAGTTCAACTAGCTGCAATAATTTGTATACCTACATATCTTTTATTGAAAGTACTTACAAATAAAATTAAACATGTCAATATTTGTAAATATGTATGTTGGATGATAATAATTAATATAAGATACAAATATAGTACATATATATAATATAATAAATTATTAACAATGACATGCATGCTTTTTTACCTTGGAATATCTGATGATGAGTTTATTAAAAAATATAAACATTTTCTTAATGTAATACTATCATTTCGCTGAGAACAATGCGGTAAGTTATTAATTTATTTAAAGGTGTGTTCCAATAAAAATTTGAATGCCTTGCAATCTGTTTTGGGAAAATCTTAATCCTGTAAAAACATTTATTTACATAATTTGATACATGCAATGTGCATATTGTAATAATTTTTTGTTGACACAAAACCAGGAAAGATTTGTTTATTATTCATACAATTCTTGCAGGACCAATTTAATTATACAAATTTTTTTTTAACTTTGTTTTGTCCAATTTTGATAAGTCCGATCTTAGATTTGACTTAAAATTTACCTAATTAAGGCCCGGTTTATTCTTCAGATAAACTTGCTGGTAACAATCTGCAAGATAAATTTACCGTTCTGTATTTCTATTGGTCGGCGGATAACTGGCCGACCAATGCGATTACAGATTGCGTTTTTATCCGTCAGATTGCATACCTGACAGTTCATCAGGAGGTGAATTACCCGTCCCTTAAAGAAAACATTTGTTAGCATTTCATCCATTTTAAAAACGCAAAACATTTTGTTTGTAGAAGCAGACAAAGGACAAAACTGCTATGGCGATATTTTTTCAAATTAAATTCAATCCTTTTGTTTTATGGTAGTGATAACTAGTTAATTAGAACAAGTAGGTATGAAAAAAAAAACACGGTAAAGCGTAGTGCCAAAAATTCTATCTAAAAAAAATCTCAGGATGCCTTAAAATAATCAATAAATGTTATTAATGTCGTACCTAATCTTTAAAGAAAATCTATGCTTTGGAAAACCCATTGCTAGACTTGACGAGTTGATGAGTACCGGTGAAAACAACAAACTATAATATATTTATGATTTAACAAGAAATAAACCAAGAAATCAAGGTCAAAACCTATGAGTGTTCCATTGCCGAGTTTTCTTTGGAATTGGCTAAGTTTACAAATAAATGCCTAATATTTTGGCGTAAATACATAATTGGTGGTTTTTGTGTGAAATGTGCTGTAAAAATGTTTATTTTGTTTGTCATTTTATTTACAAAACAACTACCTACAATCATTGTAATGATTTGTGTTATTGTGTCATTTTAAATTGAAATTTGTGACTTCATTAGAGGATAAATTGTTTTATAATAAAATTATTTTAACAATATACGGTAATTTAGCTTTTATTTAATCAATTATTCACTGTTAATTTTTTGCCTATTATCCCTGGTCCTTATGTAAATCAGTGGGACCTGTCACTATTTTTAGACATTTTATATCAAACATATGTATTTGGTGATTTATAACTCTTTAAGAGCCGTTATCCAATTTTTTTTCCTTCAAAGATTGAGATTGCGGAACTTTTCTTTCAGTTGGTCAAGACCGCTACTTCTTGGACTAATGACATAAATAACTATTTTGCAAAATTTGGAGTGAACAAATATCGGAATTTTTTCTAAAATCAATTAAAAATTGATGGATTGAAGATTGGCCTGATAACAATTGTTAATGTTACTTGACTTGTCAAGTTCTGACGGATAGGAACCAATGGAGTTGGACGATTATGCATAATTTCCCATCAAAACATTACTGCACTTCTTGATAGGGAGCAACCTATCGATAAAAGTTCAGTGTCTGTTGACAACTTAGCTCTTTCCAGACCCTTTGCTTACGGTCGTCACTCTGCAGTAGACGTAGAGTAGGTACCCTTAATGCCTTGTTGAATAAAGATTTGCACACTGGAGTATTTTCTAACTGTAGAGGTCGATAAAACACGGCGAAATATACGTCGGAACTGATTTCTGAGAGCTGGAATATGTCGATGTTTATTGGACAACATGCTGATCCTCCTTATCACTTATTCCACGTGATGACCCACTACGTGGTCTTCTTTCGACTGTACCAGCTTCTTATTTCATACCTTTGAACAATTCGTACATAGTCCAATAATAGTACATTATATACCTAGGTAGAGAAGTTGGTCATTATATAGGTACTTCCACAGTATGTTTTGATAATCCAAATCTTTTTTAAAGTTTTCATTATATATAATATAGGTATATGTAGCATGAACTAATAGAGAAAAAATGCTGGTTTTCAAAAATTATAAAATTAAATATTAATAAATTCTAATAAGGGAATAAACATCTTCAAAAAGTAACAGCTGCTACAATTATAATAAAGTGGCAACACTGTAGGTGTGCCGCGAAAATTCGATTACACCTCTGCGGGCGCGGGAATTTCAAAATAGACTTAATATTTTTTGTTAGGAAACAACGCTAAATATAATTAGTGCAGGATACGACACTTGGAAATTAAACCTATAAGATATTAATGTTTTTTATTTATATTTTCCTGATTCAAAATAAACACCGTTCTGATACCAACAACGTCTAGAAAAAAACGTTAATTCGACGTTACATATACTAACGTCTCAATAACAGCGTTTATAAAACGTTAAACTTAATGACGTTGACATAACGTTACGTCATGTAACGTTATCCTAGAATCGAGAACGTTAGTACACGTTCAGGACCTGAAACCAACGTTTCATAAATGTTTTCTAACGTGTAGTTGCTACTTGGGTAGTAGCGCCGTGTACGACATCCGATTTGAATACACATGCTGTGGACTCGCAAAAGACTGTCAAGTGATTTTAGTTTAATTTCAGTTTCATAATACCAGTAGCTCCGTGTGCGACAGGCCTTTACAGTCGGGAATGAGAAGTACCCATACTTATACAGGGTGGTCCATTTAAATTGAGACATTTCAATACCTCGAAAATGGCGCGTTTTTGAAAAAAAAAGTTCAATAATGTCTTAAGTTCAATGGCCCACCCTGTATAGCTATTGTATATCGCGTGCTAGAAACTTAAAATTACCAATTTTTCATTGAATATGAATTAAATTTTGCGACTAAAGTAAAGTCTGTTTTTTTTTAAAGATAATTCCCCAAGTCAAAAATTTAGTAACTATGTTGGCAACACAAACCTTCTCTACATAAAAAATTTGAAAGCAGCGACAATTTAACATTGTTTTGCCAACATAATGTCATTTTGACTTTTATGTTTAAAAAAAAAACAGACTTTAAAAATTCCGCTTCTACCCTTTGCGAACGAAAATTGAAAATTTGCTCAAAAAGGCAAAAAGGGGATAATTCCGTCAAGCTGGCAACACTGTGGCTGACTCGTTATCAAACACAAGCATATCAACAAAGCATTTGATAGGTTGGATATAAGCCCCGCTCCTTTCCAATCAGATGCGAGTGATATCAGCAGGGCATTCAATTGGTTAGTTAAGCCCCGCCCCTTTCCGAGGTTTATGTATGGTCAAGGTATTTGATTGGTTGTTTCCTTTTCAACCCTTTCCAATGGCCCCGGCACACCTTTACACTTACAGTGATTTAACCTTTTCAAATAGAAATTCGGTATTGCCGCCGCTGTGCTCATTTTTTTTTTTTTTGAACGCCTTCTTTAAAGTGGTGCCCTCTATCAACAGCTTATGATAACTTCCTACGTACCTACAGAAACCTGTTTTTTTTTTTTAATTTGACGTATGAAATTAAAATTGAACCAATAAAAACATGACAATATCCTTGCGTCATGACGTCATTTTCATTATTAACCTAGGTATTTTTTCATTATTTTCATTATTAACCTAGGGAGAGAAATTCAATTTTTTCCTAGAAAAATAGATTGAATAATGACTATTTCTCAGGTTAGTAGTAAAAAAAATAGTATTTTTGGTAGTTTGAGGGTAGTTTTGATTTTCTCCATACCCTATGTTGTTCGGGGAACTGAATCCGAATATAAAGTTTGCTAACAAAATTTCGTGACGCAGCATTGGAAAAAAATGCAAAAAAAGTACAAAAAAAGGTAGTTTTGGCAGTCTTTTGCTTAATTCGAAAGCCATCAATTTTTCTGAAGAAAACACCTCTATTCACAATGAAAGTAGGTACCTAGATAAAAGAGGCACGATTAATATTGAAAATGGGCCCCCACAAATTTCAATATTTTGAAAGTAGATATCATCATTGCAAAAAAAAATATTGAAATATAAAGAGGATCGTATGTCTGTGAAAGCAGATATAGCTTGTCAAAATATGTAGGTCCTGCTATGCTATGCATAGGAAATATCTGAGGAAATATCGCTAAGTAGATTTTCTTGAATATCTCGAAAAATACTCTGTCAACTACTTAAGTAAATACCACTCTGGCCGAGTTCGTTTTTGTCATCTAATTCGTCGATTTCCTCCGAAATTTTGACAGGCACGTGACTGGATCAGACAGTTTCAATTTACAAATCACGTGTCTGTCAAAATTTCAGAGCGAATCGACGAAAAAGATGACAAAAACGAACTCGACCTCTGTACATCAATTTTACTAAAGTGTGTCGACGAGTCAGCATTAATTTGGTATAAATATCGCGCCGAAATCCAATACCGGCAGACTAAGGCTAGTGCAAAGTACCTCAAATGGGAAAAGCCCCTCTAGCTAACTCTCCTCCCGGTGCAAACTACCTTTAATGGAAAACTTCATTTTGGGAGTATTGAACGCAGCAAACTAGGTCCAGTACAAACTATCTTTATTGGGAAACATCTCTCTGGACCTGTCTCAAACCCAGCTTCAGTCTTCAGTCACGCCAAGTGTACAAAGTGTACATAATACAGAGTGGCCTATAAGTAGTACGTCCCTCCGTAGGAGAGACGTCATGATACTATTTCTAGGGTAATATTATTATTATTCAATACATATCTTATTATACCTATACCAAGCGAGTTTCTCTCTACCTGAACCCCATTTACGCCCGCAGGTCGCGCTCCTGTTGTGACGTCCCAGGACGAAACGTATAGGGGTTGTGACAATACTAATCCGATTTTGACGTTTTTAGGGTCCTTTTGTAGGTATCAAAACCCAAAAACGTGGAGCTTGGCTTAATGCTTTACCTTCATCTTCCTTGGGTTACCCATCTGGACGATTCTACTTTTAGAATCTCTATAGCTCTTCGAACTGGTCAACCTGTGTGTGTGTGTTTCATACCTGTTGCTGCGGCGAATATGTTTACCAAACGGGCTTCACGGCCTTTCTTGACGCAGAAGCGCAGGTATGTGGTGTCGTCACAGTTGCCTTAATGATATTATCAAAAGAGCTCTAGTCTCCGCTTCGATACCCGTAGCCCTGGAACCTCCAGGAATATTCAGAACTGATGGGAAAAGAGTGGACGGTCTCTCATTGATTCTATGGAAGAGGTTTTGGAATGCAACCTGCTCTCATACCCTAGCTATGCATCTTATGTCAACATGACATCGAAGAAAGCCGGAGAGGCAAACATTTGGGAAATTTCTAAAACGAATAAATATTCTGAAATATTGAAAAATTATTTTTTTGTCCCGTTTTGTGTAGAGACTTTTGGTCCTTGGGGTTAAAAAAGCAAAATAATTTTTTTAAGAATTAGGTGCCACAATCGAATTTGTTTCGTCATGAACCTAGGTTCACCTCGCTCTTGTTGCAGAAGATTAGCATAGCCATCCTGAAAGGAAATGCAGCTTCGGTGTTGGGCACTTTACTCAATATGCAGGAGCTGGACGAGGCTTTTATCTTTAATTTTAATTATTTTTGTTTGGTTCAGATTTATATTTTTTTGATTATAATTTCTTACTGATTCAGATATTCCGATGAAATGACCTCGAAAAACGAACACCCTGTAGGTGCGGCAGTTTACTATAGGAGTTATTCAAGGAGTGCCAGGAAGTCGTCGTCAACATGAATTTTATTTATTCCTCCATAAAGTCCATTTATCGGAGCAGGTAGGTATGTTTGGTAGAGTATTACATAGGTACTGTTGTGTAATTATTTAACACTTTTTTTTTTATTAATTTTTTTATTGGGTAGGAGCGTTCCATTGATTATTATCTGTTTTTTCAGCCTTGAAGAGGATCGAACCTGCTGTATGAAAAATTTCTCTTGAGGAAAATTAGGGTAAGGTTGGGTCTAAATAAAACTAAAATATTATTTTTCTATTAAGTAGTTTAGTAACTCCATTCAGTCTTTTAAAATAACATATAGTAATACATTACCATTCATATTATTGCAGATGCAAACAGATATACACACATTACTATGGATATATCAATTGATGCGTACATATAAACACAATATTCATTCACCAAGCCATACTTTACATACGTACATTTAGTATTTACAATTCTTACTATGCAGTTGTCCAGAAGCAATTTTTTTTGGCATAAAAATTGTATATACAATACTTAAATAAAATTCATAAAAAAATAATTGGAAAATAAAACATAAAACAATTTTACAGGCATTAAAAAAAATACAAGAAGTGCCTATCTGAACATGATATGCGTAGCTGTCCATAAGCTGTTCTGAGAGAAAACATTTGTTCCAATAAGGACGGTGATTATTTGTAACTATCAACATAAAAGTAAGTAAATGAATATAGAAACAGCATTCGCAATTTTTTTTTGTTCCCTTAATCAAATTTTTTATTTAGTCTAAAAGCTAGCAATTAGTGATTGTTAATATATGGTACTAACTTGTTTATCAGTGATTTATCATCACAAGAAGTTTTTTAAATGATCCCAGGTAACTATGGAATTCAGTTCTGATAATTTTTTCATTAATTTCAAAACTCAATAGCTAGGTTTTAGACAGTTGTTTAGGGCAGCCAATAGATTTTTCAATAAATCATTAGTTTTAAATAAATAATATGACGCCTCGTGTAGTTACATTATTGACTGTACTAAAGTTAAGTATGGTAGATTTTTTTTATAAACAATATATTTACCTATTAACTAAAAATGGCAATTAAACGTGGTTTAAAGATAACAAACAGTAAAAATAAGTATATTGCAACTGGCTACTATTGCGTCACTGAATGTTTCTTTGGACATTTTATTGACATGCATTCTGATCATATTTGATTGAAAAAAAAAGAAATAATTAGGAGCTAAATATGATTATAATACCCTTTCACTACAAAGGAATGTTATAGACTTTTACTTAAAAACTAATACACAATTCTTAATTTAAAAGTAACTATGTAATAAAAAAATCACGAATAATAGGTGAACAAATGTTGTCAAACGTACCACAACTAAGAGCCTTAACAGATAGAATGAAAATTCAGTAACTATTATTTGTTCAATAATAATCATGTAAGAATTGTTCATATCACTGAGTAAAAAAATCTTAATATCAATAGAGTATAAATGTAGAAAAATTGCTCGAGTATAATCCAATCATACAAATATAAAACAATGACTAAGAAACATTCAGCAATACGAAATAAGATAAAATAATATGAAACCCAGTAAGAGGTACAAATATAAATTAGTATTATAGTAAAAATAAAATAATATATTGCCCAGGTTATTTATTGTTTGTAAATAAATATTTTTATTCTTCAACGATATTTAATAGGATAAATCATGTCCATTCAGGGTGCCAGCAAGAGGAAGCGGGTTAGTGATTAAATAAGAAATAGGAATCATTATTTTTTTCAATCGTTTTGAACAAAAAACATAGTAAAATCCCTGTAATCACACTTATCCAAATTTTGCTATTTTTTTCAGCCAGTTTTAAAATTTTCCAATTGTATGTCTTTTTTTAATGGGTACCTTACATTCTTAATTTTTATAATCCAAGCTTCTTGCAGTTTTGATAACAGTGTCGCTGGCCTTTGAAGCATAGTTGTAAGTATATGGAAAAATGTAATGAGAAAAATCTAAATTAAAAGTTGTAGGTAACTATTCAGAATCTAATGGCAACTTTTGGCTTACCCTAAAAGTGGAAGCCTTTGTATTTAAATTGAAATGTATAGGTAGTTGAAACATATTGCTCGATTATTATAATTATTGGTAAAAATTGACGATATTTATTGTCAATTTTCTAGATTAAAGAGGTTTTGCTAGAGTTTAAAACTTATTTTCAAATTGCTATTTCCTATTTATTACCTAAGATTGTTTCTTCAAAAACTAAATAACCTCAAACGGAACCAATGCGTAGCTGTAGGCAGCAACACGTTTCAGAGAATCCTGGTGCGGCAACTTAATTATTACACTTCCTAACAGAAAATGCTCATCAAAATGATCCTTTTCAAAAGCCTCTAGGGTATTATAGACATATTTATAGTGTTTCCTGTTAGGTAATGTATTATGCATGCTGGTTGTTTACAATAACTTACACAGCCTTATGACACATACACAAAAACCACATTGAAATCGACCCGTACATAGTATTGCTTTATTTTTAGTGAACTCTTTCTTTCTAAATTTTATTTTGATAATTTCCACTACAATGCAAACATTATTATTTACCGTTAATTATTGTTTTTAGTTCATTAAAATTAAAGCATTTGCATGTTTCGATTGTGACATTCAATGATTGAAAGGTTGCAAGTAATACTACACCCTGGTGCTTCCTTGTTCCGGAAGACAATCATCAATGATTGCATTCGAGTGGTGTACCTTAATTCTACCATTTTCTTTTAAATTTCATATATTTGACTATATAACATCAATATCAATACAATATGTATGTTTTAGCGAAAAGCTCGCCAAGCTACAAGTTAGTTTTTGTAAAAGATAAATCATAAAAAATGTATTCTGTTATTATTTTTTCGTCATACTGTACTGTTATCTTACTATAATATGAGCGAAATTGAAACTGAAAAGGTGTATTTAACGGCCGCCGGCCGTTATTTTCAAACATACCCCTATACGAGTGTTTTTTTTGTTAGATTGAAAGATTTCTGCAGTCTGACGAAAAATTTAGAACGAAACACAGCCTATAATTGCAAATAACAGCCTTGGCTGATTATATCGCCTCGGATCACAAACCTCAGCCCGGCCGTTATTTGCTATTTATCGGCCTTATAACAGTAATAACTATTTCATTATTCAAGAAGATATTGTTATATCATTAATTTAGTAGAAGTAGGGTACAGGCTTCCAAACTAAAATATAAAAATATTATAAACTGTATAAAGGTATAATTATTATTATACACATATCAAAAAAGCAATGTTAGACTTGATATTTCAATTAATTATTGATAGTATGGACTAAGGCTGACATGATCAGCACAACAAAGCATAACTTTAGTACTTGTTATCATAAAAATATAGTACATTCATTTTTGGAGGCAGCCCCACTCAATCTACTAGAGGCACTTCGAGTTACTTGAGTGAGGACTGTCTCCTCATATACACTGAACAATTATAATTGCACAACAGCAATTTCGTAACACACAAAGAATTAATAGTCTGTAGGGATATGTATTACTTAGTCCATCCCCTTCTGTACAACTCCTTTGTCATTTCTACACATTTGAGTTTTTTTTTAACTCTTCATAAGGTATGTAGGTACTAAAGATTTTTTTCTAATATTATCAATTACCAATTACATTAATTGCCTTTTCTATATTTATATGTATGCATATGTCAAGTTCTTACCGTTAAGTATATATTTGATTTTGAATGGAAGATGCAAGATTGCTGAAATGATAATAGCTTTTATGTGTGAAAACATGTAAATTCTGGCTAGGTAGAAATATTATCGTAATTGAAATTTCAGGGTGATGAATGAGCTCATTCTTCAAATCCTGCACAAACAATCTCAAGTTATTTTTAATTTTTCTAATGTGCATTAAATGGCAAAAAATTAATAATAAAATGATATTTAACTAAAGACTACAGGGTTTAATTTTAATTATTTTTTATCTACATCCATTTTCTTTATAATAAGTTCCAGGCCAAAAAAAATTAATTTTACATTTTTCTTACTTAATTATTTTTCTATTTGTGATATTTAGCAGTCAGCAGTAATTGGAGTCAAATAAAAATTTAACAATTTATAATCAGTATTTTCTTCTAATAACGTCAATAGAAAATTCAATTTATTAACTCATCTTCCTAACCTTTTCACTTCTACCAGTTTTTATTCCTATGAAAGGCACTTACCATTTGAGCAAATTCACTTACTAACAAAAAAACAAATCATTTTTTTTTGCGCAACAATTCGAAATCTATAAAAGTTTCATCAATAAATGATTAAATTTAATGCCATTTTATGATAATGATGCTAAATATACTTATACTTTGAGAAAACTGAATGTTTATAGTGTAACTTCATCAACTTACAATTGAAAAGTACATCGTTAAAGAGAATCAAAATAAGTTAAAAACCAAATGTGAACAACAACAGGGAGTTGACAGCAAGGCAGGGGACTAATTTGGCGTATAACATTTATCAGCAAGCTAATTCCTGAAGTGCAGGAGACAGGGGCGGGGCTGATGGTCTCATTAGATCGACGCCATCATCCGACGTAGGATGCATTGGTAGTGTGTCATCTGATGAGCACATCAAATCAAGCTCTGCTGACTGACACGTCAGGTCAGGCCAATATCATGGTTGCCCAGCTTCATTCATTATGTTTTGGGCCTGTTCAAGCTTTAGTGCCAAACGTTGTTTTTGAGAAAACTCGTCTTCTTCTAAAGTGACAGTTAATTGTTCGTTGTACTTCATGGCGTAATTGTAGAGTTCATGCAGAGCACAATTTGTATTGAATTCTGTTGTGTGAAGCTAAAAAAAAAATATATATATATATTATATATAAATTAAAATATACGTTTAAGAACTTTTGATTTTGTTATACATGTTCGAGTAAAATTTTTGAACTTCGACATTCTGCTCACACATTATTTCACCAAATTTATCAAAAACAATAAAAATATGTAGATTGATAAACATTTTTAGGCAATATTCTGTGCTCTAGAAGTCCGTATTTCATAGAATAGATTGGTCTTAGCCAAGTAGTGTTCACGCACGCCATTCTTCTGCAGTTGCAAATACAGCCACCTATAATAAGAGCCGTCATGGAAGATGCAATGAGAAGAGCTTATAATATAGTTAAAAACACTAATAAGAACATGTCAAATGTTGATTTGATATTTAGATTAGTTACATAATTGACATTTGCTTAGACCTAAATATAGGGGTTCAAAATTTCAAACTTGAATATAGTAATTTAGTGGTAACGAAATACTGAAAGTATGGGGAAAAATGAGTTGAATAAAATATTTATGGGCGTTTCCATCAGCACAAAATTAAAGATTAACTAATGTTGAAAGCCTTTTTGCGTTCCACCAGTTGAACATCGTCTATTCGAGAAGAACTTCAGATCAAAATTTTAGTAAGCCCTTCTTCAATTTTGAGGATCAATTTTTTATATATGCCTTGATTAGAGGGAGGTTTATTGGTAAACGGTCATTATTGATTTTATACAAAAAAATATTGTTGGCTTGGAAAACTTATTTTTATTATACTTACTCTAGAATCTTCTGCCAACATAGCATTCATATCTTGATCTGAAATGGCAGGCATCGTTTTAATATCTGAATAGTACCGTTCGACCCAATCTTTGTAACATGGAATGTCCTTGGCATAAAGCAGCTTAGAACTAGGAGAATCTTTACCTATAATAAATAATTTATTATAAATTTTTATATGAAAACCGGGTTTAAATGAAATGCTTACCTAATCTATGATCTGAAGTAGAACAGGAATCCATAAAAGTTTGAGCAACTACAGATAGACACGCGTCAACAATATTTGACTTATGAATGTCAAATACAAAGTTTGGATTTTTTATTAGATTGACCCAAAATCTGAGAGGCAAGGAATTGCTTTTCCACGTGTGCACTACCTCGGGATCAGAAATTCCGTGTTGTAGCGCTTGGTCATCGAGGAAATCAAACATATATTTTATGGCAAGAGGTAGAGCTGAACCTCGATGTGCTGTACTAAAGATAGTTTCAAATAGATCATCTACGAATTTTTGTAAGGTACCCTTGGTGGCAAGAAGTCTTGTTAAATAAATTTCTGAAACCATTTTGTTGCCTCTCTCCCCTTCCTTTTGGTTGTCATTGTCGTGATGTTTAACCAAGTGCCAAACTTTTAGCCCTTGGTCATGGTCATGGTTTAAAGGACTAGTAGCTCTGCTTAGAGGAGGGCTAACAGAGCTTAATTTGCTTAGATTGAGTGTTTCATATTTATGAGTTTTATCATTCTTGTCTGAGAAAATACTTAAGTTGTAGATTGAACTTTGTTTAGATACTAAGTTTAGACATCCGCCATCAGGTACTTTATAGTGCTGCAAGGTATTTCTTCGTTTCCATTCGCCTTCTATTTTGGTTGTGCTATCTTCATCATATAGAATTAATCTACCTGAGGTTCCAGTACGCCATTCTAAACAGAAATAAATAAGTTATATAATAATAATTGATGATAAAATTTCACTTTTAATCCACATACCTAAGTCAAGATCTTCCTTCCTAGGTCGCTGTGAATATGGCGTAGCTCTATATATGGTATCTAGGCATTTTTCCTTAACCTGACTAATGGTATCACAATCCAATACTTTTACAGGAACATTCTCTGTGTTAATATCTAAACCTCCCACAAAGGCTTGCTGAGATATTGATACATATACAGTCTGAAAATACAAATTAACATTCATAAAAACATATATATTTTGAAAATTTTTACCATTGGCCTAAAATCTATTGATTGTCGAATAAGTTTTTCTTCACTAAGTGAATATCTAGCTTCTGAGGTAATAGCATCTACAGGACCTTTGTCAACCTGCTGCTTGACAGCTCTAAAAAGCATAAACAAAGGTTCTCCGGCACATTCCCGTAAAAATTTATACAATAGGAAGGTGAACCATGCGCTAAGCATTTTTTCAGCCACACTTTCGGTCCTTCTCAAAAGCAGCTTAGGGTGGCTTTTTCCTTCCATGCACTTTTCTATAAGCTCAGCTAGTAGAGTTTTGAGTATATCTGTACAGTATTCCATTTTGCTTTGTAAGGTAACCATTATGAGGCTTGCTACGTTGACTCTATCTCTCATAGAAAAGTATCTGTTACTCTCTAATGTTCTGATAAATAAGAGCAGAAATGTTTTGTTCATAATGAGTTGACCGAAAAGCCGAAGGCCTTTCTCCTTGCAAATTAATTCTGGTCTTTCCCATTGAAGCACTACATGATCATCTTCATTGGGAAATAAAATTTTCATAGCATAGGTCCTGTAGTCCAAGAATGGTATACCTCCAGAAGTAAGATCACTTGTCAAGTCTGTCATTTCAGTTTGAAGTTCAGCAAATGCTTCTTTACATTCTGCAGCCACTCTCAACTCCAAGATATCCATTTGCTCTTGCATATTTTTGAGCACTCTGTTGCTCTCAGTTGACTTCCTTCTATAAGCTATCAAGAACAAAATAAATGACACTGCAATTATTATGACAATAATCACAGCTCCGTAAAGAGTTGGTTTGGTAAACGTCCCATTTAAACTCTGTGGTGATGAATAAGACAAATGACCAATATTGTATCGTAAAATGCCTCCAACTGTTACTACAACTTCTGGTAAAGCCTCTCCATTAGGCTGTCCAGTTTGATCAACACCTGGAGGTTGGGCTTCAGGTGGTCTACAAGTTAATTGATGACGTGACAATGATGTCACATTACAATAACTAGTACCAATTCTGACTTCAACATCTGATTCTTGACAAGCTCTATCAATGTTTTGTCCCTAGAAATAAATAATTTTGTTAACTCTACTTATAAAAAAGTAGATATATGAATACTTACATTGATATTTAAATAATCTGATTTATAATATTTGACTTCTTTATCAAATGGATAAAACGTGGGGTTTGGGTATAATAAAAACGGGTTGAATTCCTTTTTTGACTGAGTGAGATTTTGAACACCAGTTACATTGTCCATACGAAAACCGTATTCCAACTTAAGGGGATTGTCTGCATCTAATTTAGAAGTTTCTACTTCATCTATAACCGGGCTCATACAGACCATACTAATGTTACTTAGGACAGTACATTCCTGAAAATATCTGACATTATAATGATATAGTTAATATTAAGAAAAATGTTTCTCTAATTTTTGTGAGTACCGAAAGAATATATTAAATAATTTAAATAGGTAAAAATAACAAAATACTTACACTAATGAACATTTTCTGTTCATAAAAAACATACATTTGAGGTTTTTGTATGTAAGCCAAATTTTTCCCTGTAACAGATATCTTGATACCTCCAGCGGGAATACCTTTGGGAAATTTTATTTGCCCAGTTTGTACTCCAGATTCAGCCGACTCGATAACTGGGTCTTCAACATATTCAAACATCATATTTTCTAGATATCTGTCACCTTTATCGAACTTCATGCGTAATTTTTTTTTAGAGGTTGAATTTGAGGCGCTCGTGATGCATAAAGCTTGGTTTTGCTCAGTCCTGAAATAAATGTGAGGCACAAGTGCTTTTTAAAAAATATACGTAAATTAATTAGACATGATAAAAATTTAATGTGTTGCTTAATGTAGCCTTTTTAACTAACATTTTTCATATTTATGGGAGAGAGAAAAGTCCTGCTTTTAAACTACACCAAAAAGTTTTTTTTCAAGATATTTTTTTAGTGAAATGATGTTAATAAAAAAAATATGCCTAGTTTATTTCTCAACTGAGATTATCCTAAATTGAATTATAAAAAGTCATTATTTTCTCTAAATAGTTTTCTTCTGTCTTATCTGAAGGATATTGGGCTATAAAATTACCTGCTTTTCATAAGAAAAGTAGGGGAGATAAATAATCAGGGTAGGGGAGATAGACTCTGGAGATTAGGGGCAAAAAGATATTTAGAACTTCCCTATTTTATTTTTCTTCACTCTCTATAACACAATATGGCTTTTGAGTAAATTTGTACAATGCTTTTGTAGGCTCTTTATTTTTGTGTATAGAACAAAAAAATTGCAAAAATGTAAAATATGGCAACACAAATTTTAAAAAAAATACTTACGATACAATCTTGCATGGCAAATCTTCCAAAAACGCTTGAATATTACTTCCCGCATTCATATATTCGCCAGTAATTTGAAGAGCAGTACCACCAGATTTTGGCCCATACCTGGGCGATATTCCACTCACTGAAGGATCAACAAATCTAAAATGAGTTTTCGATTCTCCTCTATAATCTTCCACTTTGACTGTGACAGGTCCTTGACGTGGTTCCTTGGTACCAGGCCCATCAACAATACAAACTATTTGTTTGGTTTTAATATAAAGGTGTTCATATGGCTGACAGTTTATCCCTGCAATGCTCACTCCTGTGTAAATGTCTTGAAAAGTTTTGCCCAAGTTTATGCCTTGGATGGTGATATTAGTGCCACCCTCCCAAGGTCCCAATTCAGGACTAAAAGAGATAATTTCTGGATTTGGACAGGTTTGACTTCTATTTAGCCATACTGCTGAGCCACGTTCACATTGCTCTTTGACTTCGCATCTATCTGAGCTTTGACACCAACCACATTCATACTTTTCGGATAAGGCTAAGCAGATACCACAGTTGTCTGCCATATCATGACAGCGATATATCACGACTACAAAAATATATGTTAGTATACCTGAAATGTATTTTCTTATAGATAACTTACTATGAATGTTATCAGGATTATCCAACGGTTTAGAACCACCCCAAATAACAGCAAAAGTAGCAGTTATATTTGGTGCTCTGGAAGAATAGGAAAATTCCATGGAATCACAATAAATAGTATCACCCAATAGTTGAGCGTTCACACTGGTAACTCTTCCTTCAATATTAAATTGACAAACAAATCGAGTTTGCACTATAAATTGGCCAATTATGTGAACTTTCACTTTGATGGCTTTTTTGATGCCAGATGCCACCAGAATTTCTGGAGTATTTCCAACTGTTGAGTTGATAGTTGGACAAAATGCAGGGCCTGATCTATAACTTGGACCGGCACGCTGTAAGAAACATATTTTTATTAGATATCTTAAAATTATGGTGAGGATAATTACTTACACTAACACCGGTAACTAAAATATCATTTCTACAATTTTCAGCTGTATCGTGAGTACATCTGTGACCATCGACACACCAGTCACAGGGAAATGATGATGATACACATTGGGTGCATGAGCTGTAGGTGTTACAGTCAAAAAATGTGAAGTTGGTCGCGACAAAATCTGGACCTGATGTCATTCTCACAGACAGTTTGGCAGTGAAATGATCTAAAGTGAAACATAGTTAGAAATAAAAATTTGAAAGTAATTTGCTGGTATTTACGTTGCCCTGGAGGTATGGATGGTAACGAATCAGTCCTAGGAGTGGTACAATTGACCCCTGATCCTTTCCTTGTAGCATTGGTAACAAGTGTTTTATCCAAAGCGGTAAATGCGCACAAGAAATGACCGCTAAGGCTTGGTAGATTATCAATTACTAAATCCAGCTGCAAAAAATATCAATTTATTTTCCACAAATCTCGAGACAACAATTTAAATTTTACCGTTCTTGCAGTGGTTCTTTGTAGTTGATTGGGAATCACTGAGGTTATCGTTGTACAGCGCCCGCTTTTGTAACTAATCCAGTAAAGTGGGTCTTTGGCAGCATCTTGGCAGTCTGATCTAAGGCTACACCTGAAATAAAAAATATATTTTTGAGTAAATTGTGGAATCTATTTTCAACCATCAACAAAGTAGGTAGATCATGGGCGTATTTTTGATTAGGAAAAACATGATATATTATATAACGACAAATCTAATTGCATATTCTATTTTAAAGCCTCAATCGAGTTTTCCAACATATTTTTTGCTAGCTACCCGATTGCAATTAGAGACGCGTCTCTGACCAAACAAGCCTGACGGCGAACTTTGAATTCGAATTACTTACTAGTTTAATAGGCAGTTACTTGGAGGTATATTATTATATTCTTCAACTTTGAAAGAGAAATAAATGGTATGTTGAATTTTAATGGTTCATTTTAAAACCTTAGGGATCGGAATTAAGAAACTGGAAAGAAAAGTTATTGGTGAGCTATGAGAGCAAATATAAACTATAATTATAGTTATGGAAATCCATATTATTATATTCGATTTTGGGTAGGAGTAGTTAGCTAGTTCCTCCAGAAAGAAAATTTATGAGATTATTTCAATGTGTTCATTTTGTCTATCATGGAACTTTAATCTAGGAAGAGTCAGACACAGAACACATTTTGCGACTAATTTTGGAGGGTGGGTGTGGTCACGAAAAGATATGACTTCTTTAACCGGTGCGAAATTAGCAACCAAAACTTGGCAGAGAGATTTGGGGGAAACACCCGAATGACCATTGGCGTACCATTTTTTTTTCAATTCAAAATAAATCCAATAAATCATACTAAGACATCGAGCCTAGCCATGGAATTGTTAAAGTACCTACTATTTTAACACCATTTCCAACCCCCATGCAAAATCCCATTGAATCAAGCCCCGCCGAAATATGAAAAACCACCCTTAATAAGTAAATAAAAATGCATAAATATTGAGATTTTCGTATTTTTGTCCAACTTGGACTTCGAGTCTAGACATGAAATTAATAGTTTTTCATATTTTGACGGGGTTTGACTCAAGGCAGATATCAATTTCATGCTAGACTCGAAGTCCAAGTTAGAAAAAAGTACGAAAATTTCATGCATTTTTATTTGTTGAGGGTAGTTTTTCAAATTTCGACGGGGTTTGAGTCAATGGGATTTTGCATGGGGGTTGGAAATGGTGTTAAAATAGTACCCTATCAATTTCATGACTAAAAGAGCCCAAATTATAAAAAATACGAAAGTCTGAATATTTACGCATTTTTATTTGTTGAGGGTAGTTTTTCAAATTTCGACGGGGTCTGAGTCAATGGGATTTGGCATGGGGGTTGGAAATGGTGTAAAAATAGTACCCTATCAATTTAATGGCTAGACTCGAAGTCCAAGTTGGAAAAAAATACAAAAATCTCAATATTTATGCATTTTTCTTTGTTAAGGGTAGTTTTTCATATTCCAACGGGGTTTGAGTCAATGGAGTTTTGCATGGAGGTTGGATAGGAAATGGTGTTAAAATAGTATCAATTTCATGCTAGACTCGAAGTACAAGTTAGAAAAAAATACGAAAATCTGGGTTTGAGTGAATTAGATTTTGCATGGGGGTTGGAAATGATGACAAGTAGTACTCTATCAATTTCATGACGAGACTCGAAGTCCAACTTATAATAAAATACGAAAATCTGAATATTTATGCATTTTTATTTGTTAAATCAAGCTAATTTTCATCGAGATTCGACTTCAAACTAACTCAATCTTGGCTAGCTCCATGCTGCAATTTTTTGGAATTGCGCTCGACCTTGCTTTAGGACGTGGCACTCTTTCTCGGCGGCTTCGTGATGCGAGCCGAAGTCAGTGACGTGAGCGAGCCCTTTTGTTTTTGGCCAACGTGCTAAGTTCTCTTAAAAAGTCACTTGAAGGGGTTTATCCTTTAAATTTCTTTCTCTGTGGTGCGGAGAGCCATTTATGGCTAATTAAAGAAATAGTTTATTCGTCCACTCGGCCACTTTTTTTTCTGATTTTATTGGAACATACCAGCCTATCTTGATCTGCAACCACCTCTGGTGATGCCAGTGCCTGTATTGCGTACCGAATCATGGTATAGGAACCCCTTGTTCAGGGGTCCTACTCCTACCCCTACATCCAGGTCTAGTTTTGGTCCAGTTCAATAGAGACGGCATGATTCCCTAAGTTTCCTGTGTCCCTACTTGTGAGGTCATTTTCATGGTCCTTGATGGATAGTGCCTATCGTCCCTGATGACACCTCGAATTGGAAGTAGTGAGCACAGGTTTCTTTACGTTTAAATTTTACCTTTTATTTTATATTTTTTATTATTATTATTACCCAATTGGAATGTCTCATTTCTATGTTCAGTTCACTGTTCGGTTGAACATATGAATGACCCAACGAGGTCATTTTATATTGTATATTTTTTATTGAGCATTTCCTAATAAATGGAATGGACTCATTTAAGGGCAGATAGACCAGTAGAGGGTCACAATTTAAATAAAATTATCGACCAATGTTGTTATTTTACAGAATTATATATAGTTAAGGGTGATACTGGGTTGTAATTAAAAACGTTACAATGTGGTGTCGGTAGAACAATTAAGTGTAAACCATGCCGGTAAAGTGATTTTTCTAGGCTTCAATAAGTGTACGGGCTCGCTAAGGCTCGGCCGTACATTTCTTCTTTCTTTCCAATAATGTCAATTCACCGCCTAGGTCTACAATATACTATTGTTTCAGCTTATTTTGACATTACTTTTCACAAATATATCCGGCTACATATTCAGAGTTTTGGAATAATTCACTCTATATCAATAATCAGTGTAGCAGTGAAGTAGAGTGTTGGCCTTGACTGCATAGTTTTAATTTTCCGTAATCAAAACTGCATTTTCAGCAACAAATTAAAAATATGTGGCAACCGCCGATTTATTTTCCCTCATAAAAGTTGTAAATTAAGAAACAGCAGAAGAAAATCTTGGTGGTAAAATTTTACGAGACCATATTCGTTTTCTGGAACAGTTCCCGTTTTACGTCCTCGTAAAATTCGCAGGCAAAATATGTACTTTATTTTTTTGCATCGCATGTTAGCGACTCAAAGTATTTCTATTTTATTAGAGGACACGCATATTAAACCACCATTTTACTTCTTATAGAATCAACAGATTTTTTTCCATTATCTCAGGATTTATAACCCAATGAACTTTAATAGAGAGCTATTGAAAATTTCAAATACTGTAGTACCTACAGTCTCTAGTCTCTATTTTATTGCTACCTTATACATCCCACGAAACTAAAGTTGTTAGAAATTAGAGCACCCCTCCTTATGCGCTTAAAAATGATTTAATACTTTATTTCAAAAGCCCAAAAATCACCTTAAGCCAATTAGAAAAATATCACTAATACCCTAAGTTGAAAATATCTATGTTGTCTTATTAAATTTCCAAAATTCCCAAAGAAATCACCTACTAAAGTGCATCCAGTCATAATTTACCCGCGGACAGAGTGAGAACCAATATTATCTGATATGATATGTCTATCATTCTCTATGCCGTTGCGCCCCTGTGTTTCGATATGGTATCGTCTCAGACCGAAAACCTAATTTCTCAGTGGGGGCACCCTTCATATGAATAAGATAACTACAAAATGTCAATTTAAGTTAGAAGCTTTTGCATGCAGTATTTCCCAAATAAAAACAAACACTATTCCTTATTTTCATAAAGCCAACTGCTTATTTTAAATGTTAAAATGACGGAGACTATTCTTGTTCTTATGGAGAGTCGAATTAATTATTCTCCAATAAAACAAAAATATATTTACATCAAAACCTATATCCACTTTGTGCTCACCATCTAATCAGTTCCTTTTGAAATCCGAAACAGTATCTAACACATTGTAGCTGGAAGCCTTCTTTTGTTGCCAACCGAAAAGTTATCTTAAAAAGGAGAAATTTTGAGAAGTTGTTCCGCAGTTTATAAAACAAAGTTTCGAGATTCAAGTATGGAATACTGAAAAGACAACGTGTACAATATGCTTTAGATTGTTTAGAAGTTCTTCTTTATCTTTGATAAACTTGTGTTTTACTTAGAACGTGTTACCCAATCCATAATTTTAATCCATAGGCTTATAAGATATTTTGTCAGGCATAAAATGTAATTGGTATAAGGTTTGCTCACTCGAAACTTTCATAATCAAGTGTTTACTTTATTAATTTGAAATAATAGAGGATATACCTCACTTAAAATATTTATAACATAATTTCTATTCAAGCAAGAAAAATGTTAAAGCAAAGTGAATTTGTTGTTCTAAGAAGAACAAAAACCTAAAAAATACTTGAGCTACAGTAACCTTTACGCAACAGGAAATGGGAGTCCTGGTAACCTATGAACCCAGTAGGTAAGAATTTGTCAAACGCACGAGTCTATTTTGGTTTAAACGTTGAATTTCTCCAAGCAGAAAATGCCATCCTGTCGAGATAATACATATACTAATGTTTCGAAGAGAAAAATTCAAACTCACTTTAATAATTACTTATATTAGAAAAACAATTAGTTTATCTTCTACATCTGACGACAAAATTTAAAAAGTCCGATTTCTATCCACGTTACAGCTCCCTTTTCCACAAAACAAACTTGCTGCCAACAGTTCTAAGACTTTCAATTATGTGTCCTGTATTTTTATCGGCCCGCGGCAAAGGAACTTTCCAAAATTAAATTTGATGTCAAATAATCCAGTTTAAAGTTTCTCTCTCCAACTCGGCGGACAGTTAAAAAAAAGGGCCTGTTAAATCCTAATAAATACCTTCGGAACTGTGAATCAATAACTATAGGAAGATAGATATTAGAGAGCTTCCACCTTTACAAAAGCCTGTTTACTCACTGCGACCCGGTTCAACTTAAACCGGGGAATTATTGTCGAGCGATAAAATGAGAACTCCCAACTCCAGAGCCGTATCTGAAGGAAATAGGTATGAAAATAGGCGTTTAAAGCAACATGAAATTGCTGACATCACCATTTATGTGCATATTATATTATGCTCATGATGCTCATGCAATCGCGTTCGATTTGTTTCAAATCAATCAAACTAAACCTTCGTGTATGTAGGTACTTAGCATTCATTTATTATTTAGAAAAGTATCAATTACAAATTAATCTAACGCAGAAAGGCAATTTTGGGGGTAAACTAAGCAAATGACGACAAATATTGATTCTATTGAAATCAAGACACACAGATTATTATCATAATTATTGATCTCAAGAGTTTTGAAATAAACAGTTAAAATCCTCCGTTAAGAAATCAAATAAAACATTAAGCTATTATCAGGGAAAAAAAAAACAGTTTAATTCCCAAGCCATTTCCAGGCACTGAAAACTAATTTTGCTTTCGCCGATCCTGGATAAGGGTGTGACAGCCCAAAGTTTGTTAGTTTGGGGTAGTCGGATATGATTGGGACCGAGAACAATTAGGTTTTGCGAAAGTAAATTTAAATCTTAATGACGACTTGATTTGACAGTTTTTTTGTACTGGGCAATCAACATCGCTTTGCTCATTTCTATAAAATTACGGAAACAACAAAATCGGTTATTTTCTTGTATGAGTAGTTCGTCTAATGATATAGGAGCTCAGTTTTGGAATGAGCAACAAATATTATACCTTATACCACACTGAAAGAAAAAATATTAATCGAATTTAATAACTCTTCTAAGTTACTTTGCAACCTTTACCAAATTTTAGTTTAGATAGCTAGTATATGAGTTCTGTTAACACGTGAGCTAAAAGATGGAGAGGATTGACTGAACTCCATCACTGCAACTTTATCACATTCTAGATTTTGCAAGTGCTTTTTTTTAGTAGGTTCGATGTTTTTGGAAGGATAATCTTTTATATAAAATAGCTTCCTGTTCCTGCCAGGGGGTATTGAATTTATAATATTGGTCGACCATAATTTGGATGATGAAAACCAGCAAAAAAGTCAGGAGAAAAAAAATGTACGATGTTTTTATATATTTCATAAGGAAGAACTTCTTAGTGCAGATACTGAGCGAATAGGAAGAAGCATGACTTTGAATGAGCTAGAAATGGTTAGGTATGTTAAAGGTTAAATCAAAAACGCCGAACCTAAAAATTAAAAAAAAAAACAAAACACATAGGTATACTGATGTGGATGAATAATGATGGTACTCAATGGTAGCAAGCCAGTGGAACATAAAGCGTGTGCCAAAATGTTCGCAACATACCAAAATGACAGCGAGCCCAAAAAACTACATTTAATGCATCTCAAATGTGAGCGGTTTGAGACAGACTGGGTGAATTTATCGATAAAATTTTTACAATAATTATTAAATTAATGGGTATTCAATAATTATTGTTACACTCTTATAGATGGTAATTGCCATAAAAAACGTTCGGCTAACATTGCAAAAATTATTACATGACAGTTATGGTGATCGCCATTGTGTATTGTCTAGTTTTATGGAAAAAGTAATAAATTCAAGAAAAAAGATGACATTTAGTGACAGTTGTCATCAAATTATACGAGCCTATCAAAGGACCTACATATGCTCATGATAAAGATGATATACCCGAAGTAAGAAATCTCAACCCGTCAGGGCGTACTGGGCGTAGAAAACAGAGACAGCCCTTGAACCTGCCTTTCGTACTTGTTGAACGGTCCTTGGGGCACAATCTGGCAACACCGCATGGCGTTATCTAGGAATGAACCCTTCCAATTAGGCAATCCAAACCACGTGACATTCATGATGGCGTGGCGGCCAAACTAAATTTTTTAGTCGGGTGCTGTCTCCTATTTTTTCGGAGTTTCACAGTTTTATGTGTTTTAAAGTCTATTTGTGAGGGGTAAATTTGTAAAGTAAAATACGACAAGACATTATCATTATGCAGAGCCTATATTTGCAAGAGCTTGGTGCCCAGTCAGGATTATCCACATCTTCCAACTTACTTATTAGTTTTCCCATTATAAAACCAGAAGACATGATGCAAAATACCACTCGTTTATTTTTGTGATAAAATGCTTAGTACAAACTCCTTGATTTGCCACTCTAGATTGTGAAAGATTGTTCGGTTTGATTGCCGCTAACCATGCTATTCGTCTTTTTCCTGATAGTTCATTTAAATGCGGAAAATATACTGAACTGGGCACGCTTGGGACCCTGTAGGTTTGAGACACATTGTCTCTTTCTCGGAGGCTTCCACATCCCACAACCATTTTAAAAGACCATAACTAAACACAAAAAAATATCTAGTTTCTGTCCGACTTAATAGATTACGTAGGTACCAAGTCAACAAATATTTTATCAAATAATCAAAATTAAACTTGCAAGCAAAACTGGAAGCAAAATAACTAAAATGAGCATAAAAAACAACTAATCAAAATAAACTTGCTTGGCCGCCACGCCATATTGAATTTTGTGTCTGACAGATGGATTGGATTGCCCAAAACAAAGTCTCAGCCCCCTGGAGCTTGAAATAACAGAGTCTTAAATTCTTTTTTGTACTTGATCAATAAATGTATGACCGATGACTAGCATTCTTCACAATAAAATTTAAACTTGATGGAATCTAGATTATTCCATTCCAAATCGACAAACTAGAAGGGATAGTTGCGGAAATATTAAAACGGTATATGAGTTTCCCGCGACGTCAATGCGTGACAGTAAGTTGATCAGTCATAGTGAGTTTCGTGAAAAGTTAAGATTCATTCGAGTTATTCGGGGTGTCGCTAGTTTTGTCGTGAAGTTCGTGTCATTATTTTAAATGGGATTTATTAAACTTTGGAAAAGTATAGTCTCAGAGATATAAAAAAAAGCCTTAGATCATACAGATATCAATAAGTGATTTACTCCCACAGCTGGGAACAGCTACGTATGCGAGTGTCCAGCAAATTATTCTGTTATTTCTGAAACAAAGGCGAGTTACTCCGGTGTGAGATGAGAAAAATGTGATTCTTCGACAGTTGAACCATTAAATACGCAAACATGATGAGTGTCACTGCGCAATCCGCACTGTCGCAAATTTCTGAAAAATTATTAATGATTTTATTATTAGGTACTGCTGATAATTTAGCATTTAGGTGCGTTTTCTCTCTTAAAAAAAATTAGATGCGAGCTTTTTTGATATTTTTTGAGAACGGTTCTCCTTTGTGTGAATCTGTCGCAATTTTATTTCTGGATTACTGCCAATGAATGTATTATGTAGCAAATCATTACCTACTTTCACTGAGCCACCCTATAGATTATAATTTTGCTAATACATACAGTGAAATCTATTCCAAAATTGCCCCCTACACACAATAGAAGAGCCGACCCTGAACATCCATTTTGGTTCTAAATTAAACTATAATTGTGAACTTTTTCCCCAACTTTATGGCGCACACTGTATATAAAAATTAATGTTTGCTGGGTATCCGGCTATGCGCTCCTACACCACTTATCCTATTACGATGAAACTTTGGTAGATTGTTATGGCCATCCCAAGGAAGGTTTGTGGATAGGTTACGCATCTCGGAAAAAGAAATTAATTTTAAATAATTATTAATTTATTTGTAAACAAACTCATTCACATTACATAACCCAATTTTTTTTGACAGCATGAAACAAGGTTGCCATATTTCATTTATTTAGGCTTGCCATTCAACCGACGTAACTTTATCATTTTTTGAATTCGAGAACGGCTGGACCGATCTTGAATTTAATACCACGTATCTCTTTATAAGCTGAATTCGATTGACCCAGATTAAATCGATTTGGGTTCAATTTAAGTGAACTTCTTCTGATCTAGATCATTTTTTTGTTGATGAGGATGCACTGATCCAGCCTCAATCGAACACAGTGTGGTTCACTTAAATTGAACCAGATCGATCTAATTCGGTCAATCGAATTCGGCTAAAGAGGGGAGTGCTATAGGCTATTTTTTAT